TACTATATTTAGATCGGACCGGAGGCGGCGTAGTTCTAGGTTTTCTAGGTCTAGAGTTTCAAGTCTGATGGCATAAGGTATTCTGCAATGAGTAGAGGAGCGGAGAACTCTTCTTGTGAAATATTTCTGGACTTTTTCAATTGTGTTAATATCAGATACATGATATGGGTTCCAGACTGATGAGCTATATTCAAGTATAGGTCTAGCAAACGTTTTGTATGCTCTAGTTAGCAGTATGATATTATCAGAGAAGAAGCTATGTAGGATTAGATTAACAACTCTTAATGCCTTTTTGGCTATGTAGTTGCAGTGGGCTCTAGCACTTAGGTCACTAGAGATGAGTACTCCAAGGTCCTTGACAGAGTTTGGATCTTCTGATTTTATCTTATATTGATTGATGAGTTATCATTTTGTTATTTGTATGTACACTGAGAGCTTATGCACCGGAGACAAATTCTTTGTGTGTCCAATCACACTTGACCAGTAAAGAATATTCCAGTAAATAATATTCCAATGCACTGTCACAGTTGGTCTTTTTCATTCTAGAATGACCTCTTCATTCTGTTAATTGTATGGCACTGACTACTCACAAGGATGCTTTGGGACTACACTAAGATGTTCTGGTATATCTGGTCAATTTTACATTTTCTTCCCTACTTTGTCTTATAGGAGCACTTATACTATAGAGAAAAAAAACTTTAATCCTTGTTTAAGGCAGCAAAACTGAATTTTGCTGTTTTATTTAATTCTGTTCTCTTAGAGAAGGCAAAAGTTTTCAAGCGAACAGCTGTGGTTACATCACTTTTTTTCTATACATGTCATTAGAAACAGAGTGGCTGATTTGGGTAAGAGCAACCAATTTATTTATTATACATGCTTATTGATTGAGATGGGCAGTCATAACAATTTCTAATTTGCTTCTTTTGGGGAGAATTTATACAAGACAGCAGTTTGGTCAAAGAGATTGTGTCTCTAGTTATTGTATAGTTTGTACTCCTTATCACTTATTTTTTCCCTGACAATATTTGTCTGCTATTGTCAGCTTATTCTTATTTTCATTTTAAATATGGTTTGGTTATGTCTGCTAATACTTGCTAACCTCAGGGTCTTGCAAACTATAAAAGCAGATATTATCTCTCTCTCCAACCCCATTAATAAAACCAATGATAAGGTTAAAAATACTATTGCTGTTGAATAATTACATCTTATATTCTATAAAATAAAATTAGGATAGTATCTAATAATTCTATAAAATAAAATTGATTAAATACTGCATGTTAACATTTACACTTCTAAAACATTAAAAATATAGATGGATTATTTCATATCATCCTGGCAGAAATGCTATAGTTGCCCACAATTTTGTAAAAGAAGCTAAATCTAAATATTGCTGATCAGTAGCAACGGAATACAAATATCCAATAAGACATTGTAGGAGAACTGTGTTAGTCTGCAGTTAAAAAAACAGAAGTCTGATTTTCCAACTAAGTAGTTTTATTAAAAGGCATGAGCTTTTGTGCAGCTCACTTCATTAGATGCATAGAATGACTTTGATAAAGTGAGCTGCAGCTCACAAAAGCTTATGCCTTTTAATAAAATTTGTTGGTTGGAAAAGCTGCTACCATCATCCATTTTTCAATTTCCAATAATAGTTTGTCACTGATAAATAGGTGGTGGGGATTATGCTGTGGAAACGAGAATTTGGTCCATTTCAACTGTATTAAAAATGCCAACCCGTGAAACACATTACACTTTAATTAATGCAAAGTTACAAAAATCTTCATGCAAATTTTAACACGATGGCTTTTAGCAGATAAACGTTTGTAAAATAAACAGCGATGCAAGTACGAAAGTTAATTTAAAAAATAATATGGAATTAAGTGGTGCAATCTTTTGGACCACTCATCGACAGTGTGAGAATAAAACAGAATAGAATAGAATACTTTTATTTGGCCAAGCGTGGTTAGATACATCAGCACTTCAAAAGTAGGAATTCTGGGAGTTGAAGTCCAAGTTTTATGGTTGCCAAGTTTGAGACACACTGACTTAGAAGGGGACCAGAAATCATGGACACTGCATCACTGGAGGTTTTTAAGAAGAGACTACACTAGACAGTCACTTATTTGAAATGGTATAGGTTCTCCTGCTTTAGCAGGGGGCTGGACTAGAAGACCTCCAAGGTCCCTTCCAGCTCTATTCTATTCCATTCCATTCCATTCTCTATTCCATTCTATACTGCATTCTATTCTATC